AAAAAAACATCAGTCTAGTGGGTGCCCAGGAAACAGCAGCATAACTCAGTAAATCTGGTCAGTAAAAACACAAAAGCCCAAAGTCACAGACAGCTTATGATATGAAGAAAAGCTCCACTATGATCTTTCAGCGTCTCTTCATTCTTTACATATCAAGTTTTGATAATTTCTTCATTCCTTGGAGGAAAAAGCATGTCTATTCTCCTCACTAATGGTTTATATTCAGAGTACGAATGTTACGGTGCTCCAAAGGTTTCCAGTGTGTTTGAAAAAGGTTGTAAACTCAGCAGCACAGGTTGTATTTGCAGCAGGTCAGAGAGAGTTCAGACACAGGTGTCTCTCCAGTGTGTGTGCGTGTGTGTTTCGTCTGCTGCAACTATATGGCACATAAACACCATGTGGAACACATTTTCTCCTGCTTCTACAGAGAGGTTTATTCTAAATCATGCTATTCTCTTAGCAAAAAAATGCTCCCGCTTTGTCTTTTCAGTCTTATTTGAATCTCTTCACTGAAAGGCCACGTCTCTCATTTCCCCTAAAATTTCCATTTTGTCTTTTCACACGCAAAAGAGAAAAAAATAAGAAAAGATTTGTACTCCGTATGTCTCTCTCTCAGTCGTGTCTTTCTTACTCTCTACCCTCTGTATGCTCTCTCTGCCTGTGTCAGATGGCCGAGTCCCACACCACAGCCTGTGGCCTCTGGCAGGGTGGTGTTCCAGTCTTGCGGGGCTCTGGCGTTTTCCTCCAGCTGGGTAAAATAGGCATACTGTCCTGCTTACATAAGCTCCTGTCCGGCCGGCGATGAGCTTTAATCTCCTTACACAGGCAGCGCTTTCTCTCGATCACCTCCAGGAGCTTGCCGTCCCGCTGGGCCGGGGCTGTGGAGGTGCAGGCTGTGCCCGCGCTGAGGGAAGCCTGGGCCTGCGCGGCGAGCTGAGCCAGCTGCTGGAACTGGAGCTGGACCTGCTGCTGGTGCTGGTACTGCTGCTGCCGGCTCAGAGACGGACTGCAGGGAGCCTGAGTCTGTGCCTGAACCTGCGAGAGAGCGTGAAACTACACACAGAGACAGAGAGAAATTGTAAAAATTACTTTGCATAGTTGAGAGCAGATGAAATACATAGTCATGTGATCGTTTGGCATAAAGACATAAAGGTTTGGCTGGTTAGCATGGTCCAGTTAGCCTCTGCTGGTAGATGAAGTACATTTACATTTAGACATTTAGCAGACGCTTTTATCCAAAGCGACTTACAAATGAGGACAATGAAAGCAATCAAAATCAACGAAAGACCAATGATATGCAAGTGCTATAACAAGTCTCAGTTAGCTTAACGCAGTACACGTAGCATGTTTTTTTAAAAATCATATTGTAATGACCCGGCAGTGAGCGCTAGCAGCCAGGTGCATTATGGGTATTTGTTTAGAGTTGATTTATGTGTTAATTAAGCAAGATGGTTGGGTTTTTGCATTAGCAATGTTATGTGTGTTTATGTTCAAGTTAGTTCGGGTGGGTTTGGTTCATTTACTGCCTTGTTATAAAAAGTGTGGCTGTCACCGTCATGGAGAGAGATGTGTACGGGAGGGACTTGGCGATATGGCCTTGCCTGTGTAAGTTCTTATTCTGTGTTTAGAATAAAAGGAGAAAGATGACAGTACTGCCTCCTGCTGGTTTGTTCTGTCTGTGCTTCTGCTCACGAAGACACTCAGGGTCGTGCGGTGTATGGGATGCGAATGTTCGCACTTTCCACTAACCAAATTAAAAGTCTTGACGTGTAGTCGCTAGCACCCTGCTAGCAATTAGCTTAGCAGAAGTTTAGTAGTCTAGCTTAGCTCCGGTTAGCCCCACATTCTATAGAACAACTGTGCGTTGTTACAGTGGTGTCAGAACTGGGATTTCTGAGATTCAGGCCGTTTCGAAGACGCCGTTATGGAGCAAAGTATAGGTGAATTAGAGCGTGCTATCCGAGAGAACAGCATCATGCTAGAGCACCTGACGAGTGAGACGACGCAGAGGAACAGGGCTCCGCACCGGCCTGATGGGGCCAGCGTTCCCCGGACAGTGTACCGCCCTCCTGGTCGCGTGCAGAACGAACCTCCGGCCATCACACCGACACTCCAAATCAATGGCCGGCCAGGCCTCCTCACACGATCACCGGCTAAGCTGCCACGATACAGCGCCCCTGTATCCCCTGCCCCTACCTGGCGCAGGTCGACCTGGCCGCTCTACACGATGGATGGAGCCGCGAGGAGACCGCGACTCACTTGGCCCTCGCCTTGGAGGGTCCTGCGCTTCAGGTCCTCATCGACCTGTCCCCTGAAGAGCGGCGTAATGTCCAAGCCCTCACTGCCGCTCTCAACCGCCGCTTCGGGCAGAGAACCTCCGTAGAGCAGAGCAGGGAGGAGCTGGAGACCGTGCCGCTCCGGTCGAGCCGGAGCCGTCATGGAGAGGCTACCGCCCCGCAGCCGCCACCTAGACACCAGTGCTCGCCGGCTCCGGCCCCCAGCCACCGCATGAGAGCTGCAGAGACTCAGGGGGAGCCCCGGGGGAATATTGCAGCTCAGACCAGCACATCCCAGCTGCTACCACCGCACGCTCCATTCACCTCCCTGTCACCGGAGACTGTTGCTGCTGTTGAGGAGTTGGGGCGGCGAAGCAGTGAGCATTTGAGCATTCCGCAGCAGGAGCTTACAACGCCTATTGAGAGACTTTGTAGACATTTTTCCAGCCCGAGAGGAGGACTGTACCAGCACCTGTGTTTGTTAATTATCCCCAGTATTTAAGTCCTTGCCTTTGCGTTCTGTGTTGGTCGGTTCTACTCATTATGTTTGTGTGTTTCCTGCCATTTCCAGTGTGGATGTACCCTGTGTTCCGTGGATTAAAGACTGTTTTCGTTTTATTCGTGCCTCCTGTGTGCTTCCTAAACAGCGAACTGTGACAGGAAGAGATGTGTTTTTAGCCGATTCTTGAAGATGGCTAAGAATAGTCCAGCCTGGACAGAACAAGAGCTTGAACAAGGAGTTGTGAAGCATGTTCCGAAAGAAAGGGCCTGATCTTCTTGATGTTGAATAAAGCAAATCTGCAGGACCGGGCAGTTTTAGCAATGTGGTCTGAGAAAGTCAGCTGATCATCAATCTTAACTCCAAGGTTTTTGGCTGTTTTTGAAGGAGTTATGGTTGATGTGCCTAACTGGATGGTGAAATTATGATGAAACGATGGGTTTGCTGGAACCACAAGCAGTTCTGTCTTGGCAAGGTTGAGTTGAAGGTGATGGTCCTTCATCCAGCAAGAAATGTCTGTTAGACAAGCTGAGATGCGAGCAGCTATCGTCGGATCATCAGGATGGAATGAGAGGTAGAGTTGAGTGTCATCAGCATAGCAGTGATATGAAAAGCCATATTTCTGAATGACAGAACCTAGTGATGCCATGTAGACAGAGAAGAGAAGTGGTCCAAGAACTGAGCCCAAGTAACTACACCATCTGGCTGCAAAAAGAGAGAGATGTACCGAAGGCGATCAATACTATTTTACTATTATTTATATACTATTACAGTATTTATTAATACTTTTTGTTAGTTTTTATTTTTATATTTCAGTTTTCAATTTAATTAGCATTTTTAAAAATAATTTTGTTATGTACTTTTGTAATTTTTTTTGTTATTTATAATTGTTTTATTATTTTTTAATATTTCTATTTAGATTTATTTTGTTTTTAAATTTAAGTCATTTTCTGTTTTAACTAAAACTGTTAATTTCAGTTAGATGCCAAGGCAACATTTGATATTAAAATGATTTACTATTTAATATTAACATTTAATATTTTAATACATTTCACATACATACATTTCACCATTTACAATATTTATTTTTATTTTATATTATTTTTAAAAGACAAATTTTTTTTTTTAATCACAATTCTTCTATTTTTAATTTTGTACCATCATCAAATACTGCACTGAAAGTTAGTTTCTTGTTCCGCGGCATGATGCATCTTTTTGCCAATTTTTACCAAGGTTCCGGGATTTAAAAAAAAGGATGCCAGCAGTACTTGGTTGGGCAAATACTGCTGGCATCCCATCCAACATAAAAAGAAAATTAAATCAATAAGGAGAGTCCAAAAAAGTTCTGCTCAGAAGAGCCACTTTTTAATTAATCTCTTCCCAAAATTAACTTTTGCCACACCTGTCAAAGATGGATGAATTGAGAGCAGGCCAATTACAGTGGGTTTTTTTTTGTATTAAATGTAATTACTGAAAATTCTAATTCCTATTTAGCTCGGAGTATTACACATATGTGGAGTTCCTACAGCAAAACATTTACAGTAATTGATTTTAAGATTAAAATGGTTAAAAACCACAAGTCTGGGCAGTTCCATCAGCAATCACTCACGTCAGACTATAGTTCTTACAAATCATATTTGCTATATCAAAGAACGCCACCAGATAGCGGCATAGCGCCAACTCACAGCATCCATCCCATCCCCCTGATCTGAGAGGGAAGGTCATATCAGCTCACAGAGTCAATCTCTGTGCTACACACACGCACACAGACTGCGTCAGCATGTGAACTTTTGCCAAGAGACAACAGCACACCAGGGGAAAAGAACAGAGGCTTCTGTACGGCAGCTAACATCCAACAAGATTAAAAATGAAAGATTATTTCTTGCATGTGCTGCCAGTTTCACTCCAGTCTGTCTATAACACAACCCACACGCCACTAGAGCTATAGGAAGTGGAACATCCCTGTCTGTTAACACGCAAAGCACGAGCTGCTTCGCATGTTTAATGCGTATCTCTCCGGATTCTTCTTGTTACTTTTCGCACTTTCAACATACTAAACTCCCAAAATGGCTGTCTGACAAACCGCTGACAGAGACAGTCAGAATCAAAGCCTGTCACTGGCCGACACGGAGAGACTCCGGCAGCGCCACTAGGTTTGAGTTTGATCATTCACGTAGACTGTTTGTCTGCCTACCACAGTCTGACAAAAAACACTCCTTCTTTCTGCTGCACCTGTTTTCTCCACCCATGTGCTGCATCTGTCCCCTCTCTTTTCTATTCTGTGCTGCATTTTCTCCCTTTCTCTCTCTCTCTTGCTCTCTGTCTGTCTTTCTCTCTGCTGCATTTCTGTGCCTCCCTCCCGCTCTGTATTCATCCCCCTTTTTCTCTGCACTCATTGACCCTGCAGCAGAGTGCAGTGCAGCTACAGACGTGTTTGGGTGGGGATGCTGGTGACTCAATGGGCTCCGCGATTTACCTAATGACTGTCTAGAACAGCAGCCACAGGGGCACAAAACCGAACGAAATTAGTTACAGATCACCTGCCATAACTGTCAAGCTTGGTGTCAATTACACGTACGCATGTTAACCAGTTAAACTGAATTTAATTCATTACTGCAGTATCTACACCGACTGAGGCTGAACAAGCCTGTGCGATTTCTAAGCATTTCCTGTATACTTTGAACTGAATAGCACAATATTTAAATGCACTCTTGTCTGAGGTTTTCTCAGTGTCAGGGTGGTGTACGAGGTGAATTAAAGGTCATTGCAAAAGCATGCACAATACTATAACCAGGCCCAGTCTGAAAATGCACACTTGTTTCCCACTTTTTTTGGGGAGAATCCGCTGTAGAATTCTGTGAAATTAAGTAAAATATGGTAAAACGTCCTGTATGTTACACTATTGCAGCATAAAATGTGTTAAATGGAGATTTTAGGTGTTAAATCCATGCATTAGGTAACAGGAAAACTTGTGCCCTCTTAATCTTGAATCATGACAATTAACATCTCCTCCCCTCATAACGACACCTATTCTCTGATGACGTCTGCACCGGCGCAAGTGTGGAACAATAACTTATCCCCTCTAGCAACCTGTCACACACATGAGTCACACACTCACAGCAATTAGCAAATGACAACAATCCAATTCCTGATGGACAAAATGAAGCCTGTCCTAAATTTTTATAGTTTGGATAAACCACTTGATGAAAATAGGGAATGATTATTACTTCCATTTAATGCCAACATTGGCTAATGTTAATTTCTACTTATACAAATACATTTTATACATTTCAAGCTATATAAGTTAACATTAGTTAAAGGGATGGTTCACCCAAAAATTCTGAAGTTTCTGTCTTCATTTATTCATCCTCATGTCGTTCCAAACATGTATGACTTTCTTTGTTCACAAAAAAAGAGATTTTGAAAAATGTCTCTACCACGAAAATCATTGTTTGAACAAAAACAGGTTAAAATATTCTTCAAAATACCTTCTTTGGTGTTCCACAGAAAAAGGGCTGCAGGTTCAAAGTAATTTCATAAGCTCAAATCTTAATGTGATCACGGTTTTACCTGGATGAATGTGTGTTTAAACAGGGCTGAGGAAACAATAACATTGCAGGTGTATAATAACTCACTGAGTGTGTGTTTATGTGAATTTAGTGATGGCTTTATTGGTGCTGGCATGTGTTACCTGGTTGAGTGCTTCTCTGGCCTGCAGGCTGCTCTGCCTTTGAACGTCACCACCCACTTGTCTCACTCCTGATGTGGAGGAAGACCTGCCAAGGCGACCCAACTCTATGAAGGATCACAGACACACAGCCAAGTTATTGTTTTGAAAAATAAATCTCAGGACATCGAATTTTTAGCCAAATCTAAAATAATGATTGAAATAGCATGTTGTGTAGCCTAAAACAAGTTCCTTTTGCCACCTTGCAGAACAGAAAACAGAAGTAATACTGTTAAAACGTATATGACAGCAATCAGAACTGAGGAGGACATCACAAAAAAAGAATTGTGCCTGCTGATAGCATTGTTAATTTAAAGGAATTATGCAAATAGGGTAATAGAGCAAACACAGACAAAAAAATTAGCGCTGGTGAGGTTTGCATGGTGCAGTTTCTTAGGTTGTGGAGGATTGTATGCAGTACACTACGATGTTTGACCTGTATGCAGGACTGCACGGCATCGTGCCACTACTGCAATCCAACTACCTAAATCAGTCTTTAAAATGCAGAAAGGGGGCTCAGCTAAAAGTTCCATCTGGATTTATAACACTTTTCACCTTCATTTGATCATCATTTGATGGATTATTGCTGCCATGATGAATAGAAGCAGCACACAAACTGTTTCTACAGATATTAATGAAATTCAGCCTGCTTTCCACCCTACTTTCCACTAATAGCGCAACATTAATTGCACCAGGCAAATAGCGCTGACATCTGTGAATGCGTTGCATTCTATAATGAGCCTCATTTGCATTGAAAGCAGGTGTGTTTGCATTGTAAAAAATGACATTGACTTTATTTAAATGTGCATTGCACAACATAATGCATATAGTGCTTAGTTAAGTTGGACTGCGGGTGGTACGTGAATAAAACGCATGATGTGCGCTGCAATACAGCAGTTAAAGTGGCTCAAATGTTGAGAGAATTCACTCCTGAATGTATCATGACATACAATTATATGGTTCTAAAATGTCCAGAAATGTGTGGTGTGGTTCCTAATTATATATTATGCTAGTTAGCTATGATAACTTATGTTAAAGGTGCAGTAGGAGATCTTGGAAAATGCTAACTTTAGCCTGATAGCACTGAAAGCGAATGTCCCACCCTTCCTGCAATCGCCGTCCAAAGCCTGAACGCATTTACGCTCACAGACCAGAGACAACATTACTACAATAGGCTACATCAGCGGTTCCCAATTCCAGCCCATGTTCCGAAGTGAAGTAAACTTCAACGGATTTCCCCTGCTCAGGGAGTAGGGAGCAATGAACACTGTGTAGGGATCATATCGATCGGAACACAGTTCATGCACGTAGCTCACTTCTAACGAGCTGGCGGGAGGACTGTATTAACCGCTGGGCTACATCATGTGTAATTCACCGGTGAGAAATCTTTAAAAGTACTACAATACCAGGAAGGAAGATCGGGTTGTTGATGTTTGCCTGCCATCCTCACTCTGTCTGCACAGCGTGCGTGAACGCGCTGATGATGTATCCTGTCTGCGCGAACAGGGTGCGCAGAGGTATGCTAATACATACATTGACAGGCAAGTAGGAAAGCCAATTAAAACGCTCGGACCGAGCGTTTTGATTGGACGAACATTTCTTGATCCTATGCCTTCCACATAATATATAAATACAGACAAATACATTTAGACCACTTAACTTAATTGGTCTCGGGATGTGAAGAGACTTTCAACCAGCATAACAAAAAATATTTCTGAAGACAATCACCTATTGCACCTTTAACTATTTCTAGCTAATATTGTGTGTTGCTTAATTGTGTTACATGGTCTTTGTGATTTTTTCATCATGGTTTTAGTAGGTTTAAAGTCAGTTTTTTTCTCCATATTTTCAAGGACATGATAGATATCTGATCATTTTGTTATAAAATGTGATGCTTTCCAAACAAATCAATGCACACTGATCTCAGCAGCATCAATTTACAGCTCATAAACTGTTCAAATCAAATGTTTTATCTCTAACTGAAACACACTTGATCTATATCCAGAGTTTTAACTACTGAGGTCATGGCAAAAAGCCTGTGCTAACGTTATTTAAATTGGATCTCACCTCCATTGCGGCACGCTGGGAAAGTTTGGCAGGGTAAGGGCAGTCCCGCTCGTATCAGTCCTCTCAACCCTGGTGGTCCATCCACCCCAGCCAAGCTCTCGCTGTGTCTCCCGGTTGACCGCACAGGTATTCCAGAGTGTCCACCACCCCGTATGGCTCCTAGGTCATCCCTTTCTCTCCTCAATAGAGCATCTGCACTGCCATTCCACGCACCTCCGTCCTCCTCTACAAAGCATTAGAGAGAAAAACACAATTAAACATCTACGATAGAACCACAGAAAGAGAATTCACTCCATAATAATCCCTACAACCATTACTCACTCTCAGTGTTTCGGCTCCCATGACTGAATGATAATTTTCGGTGCATGGGCCAGTAAGCCTGTTCTTCTGTGAGCCCAAAGGCAGCTGCGCTCTCCCAGGGAATGAACCCGGCTTTGGCCTGCAATGCATGGGCTGCAGATCCAGTTTTAATGGGCTCCATGTGCAAGGATGGTAACTGTGAGCCCCCGCGCAGGCTATCGTAGGCGGGTGGGCGGCGGAAGCCAACCGAGGGGTAGGTCCAGAGCAGGGGGCTGTCGGAGGGGGGAGGTTTGTAAGCAGGAAGGCCATGAGAGTGCGGGGTGTGTGACCGGTGCATGCGAGAGCGAGTCGGAGGGCGCTGAGCGGATGAAGAAGAGGTGGAAGGTGGTGTAGCTGCTGTGGACGATGATGGTTGACTCTGGGTTGGCGTGGTGCTTGTGCCGGTTTGAGAAGTGTGAGTGTACGTGCTTGAGGCAGGGGTATCAGAATGATTGGATGATGGCGTGCTCAGGTCTCTCTCTCGGTCACGATCCCGATCCCTCTCTCGGTCCCTTTCCCTCTCAGATTTCTCAGACTTGAGCAGGAAGCTGACAGACTTGCCCTCTCTGGGCTGTGTTTGCGTCTGGGTGAAGGACTGTCCTGAGCCCTTGCTTGATGACGACGTCTCTTTCTCAGGCTTGCGGTAATGGTGATAGTGGGAAGGCCTGTGGTGAGGGTGATGGTGATGATGGTGGTGGGAATATGGAGAGGAGGACTTTGACGATGGAGGAAGAGGAGTGGAATGACTGCGGGCTCTGAGTCCTGGTGCCGGCCCCAGCTGTCCTTCACTCCTCTCCTTCTCTCGTTCCTTCTCAACTCCAGAGGACTCTTTGGAAGTGCTGGTGGAGCTCATGCTGGAGGAGGTGCTAGTAGATGCTGGCAGACTGGAGGCCGACTGCACACTGATTTTGGCCAAGCTGGTCTTGTGTTGAGCCCCCACCCCACTGGAGGCAGCAGCCGGCTGGGGAAATGCCAGGAGCGGAGACTTGTGCTGGAGCAAGTTGGGGAAGGGTGCCGGGATCTTACTGGAGCTGGGCTCATGTTCAGACTTGGACCCTGGCAGCAGGAAGGGTGTGGGAGCACGGGGAGGGTGTGGTGAGGAGGAGAGGGCTTGAGGTACAGGAGTGGAGGATGCAGAAGAGCAGGATGAAGGCAGAGGAGAGGAGTGAGAGATGGAGACAGCTGCTTTAGGCTTGGATGAGGAACAGGCTGGAGAGGAGGACGAGGGGCGTGGGAGCGAAGAGGAGGTGGAGGATGAGGAGGATGAGATGATGGAGTGGTACGCTTTAGAGGACTTGATACGCTCATGTTTGAGTGGCAAGCGGCGATGGGATTCTCGAGCTGCGTCGTCCGGTAGGGGGTACTTCATCTCTTCGTATATGGCCTCTCCTTGGTCTGAGTCAGAATCAGGCGTGGTGGCGGAGGGCGTGAGCGGGTGAGGAGTAGGGGCGCTGTGAGTCTCTCGGGTAAAGACCTGGCCAACCATTTCAATGTAAACTGGCTCGTCATCTCCCCCCTCACCCCGTGGAGAGGGTTCAGAGCTCTGGAAGGGAAGAGGTGTGGTCGGTGGCAGGACCCGAGATGGCGGGGGGTCAAAGGAGAGCTGTGTGCTTGGACTCCGTTTGGGCTTCAAGGGAGGTACCTTTCGTCCTGCCATTTCACCTGAATCAGACTTCTTCATTGCTGTTTAAAAAATAAAAGCAGACAAGAGGTGAAAAAAGAGTGACACAAAGACATAGAGAGGAAGTTTTACAGAGACCACAAGTCAGGTATATATAGCTTTCTGGTTTTTAACTTTTTAATTTATTAAAGAGTTAGTTCACCCAAAAATGAAAATTAGTCCATGTTTTACTCACCCTCAAGGCATCCTAGCTGTATATGACTTTCGTCTTTCAGACGAATCCATTCGGAGTTATATTAAAAATTGTCCTGGCTCTTCCAAGATTTATAACGGCATGGGTGGGTGGGTGTTTTTATTCAACAGTCCATCGCCTCCTGTAGCGAATCGATGCGTTTTGTAAAAAAAAATATACATATTTAAAACGATATAAAGAGTTTTGTGTAACTTCCGCTAACTGTCATACGCGCGTTCATGAGAGACTGCCTTTCTGGCGGATGACGTAGGACGTAGGCACAGCGCATGCACGTGTGAGTCTCACGAAAACCAATGTTTGTTTACAGCAGCAAAGGAAGCAAAGTTTCCATACTTTACCAAAGGAAAATCAGTCTCCTCTTGGCTTATATTGAAATCCTCTGTTGTTGTTGTTTTGTTTTTTTTTTACAAATCCTCGTTTTGTGCTTCTAATTCGTGACCAGCATTTTGTTTTGCTCTCTCTCCGTCGTACTTCCGCATTCATCACTAATCACCGCCGCATGCGCTACGCATATGTCCTACGTCATCTGCTGGAATGGCTTCCTCCTACAACAGTTAGCAGAAGTGAGAAAAAGGTGTTTATATTGTTTTAAATATGGATATTTGTCTTACAAAAACGCATCGATTTGCTACAGGAGGCCATTATTGACCCCCCCGGAGCTGTGTGATGCACATTTTAATATGGATGTGTGCACTTTATTTGACTACTTTTGGACTGTTGAACAAAAACACCCGCCAATGCCATTATAAAGCTTGAAAGAGCCAGGACAATTTTTAATATAAATCCGATTGGATTCAACTGAAAGAAGAAAGTAATTTACACCTAGGATGCCTTGAGGGTGAGTAAAGCATGGACTAATTTTCATTTTTGGGTGTACTAACCCTTTAACCCTTGTGTTGTGTTCAGAACCCTATCACACTTCATAAATAATGCTTTTTTCACTCAAAAAATGAGGTGCCTACTCTCAGATAAATGAGGCCTACGATTAATCAGAAGCAAATATAAATACAAAACCAGTCCTAAATGAAAGATAATAAGTTGACAAAAAGATTGAATCCAATCTTTGTTGATAATATAGCATAATGAGTGATTTATAAGCATTTGTTTGAGGCCGGGTCCTTTTTGCTCTGTAACATCACGGGTGTAACAAGGTGAAAAATCTCCCCCAGAAAAGTATGAAAATGATAAAAAAATTTTTTAGAAGTAGTTATACCCTTTGTGAACAAAGTCACAAAATTTCAGTCCAATGCGATAACATTAACTAGTATTTTCGGGAAAATTTTTTTTTTTTTCAGAGCAAAAAGGACCCGAACACCACATGAGGGTATTAATACATGCTCCCAGTCCTATGATTTTAATTAAACTAAAATTTAAAGATTTAGGTTGACATACTGTTTCTTACTTTTTATAACCTCTTCAAAAATTAATCAATGGATAAAATCAAGACCCACCCTTACATTATTTGTTGTTGTCTGAAATAAATTTTAAGCAAACAGCTTTCAAATGACTCATCACACATAACACTAATCTGGTTGTTATTTCTGTAAGTTTTAGACATTACAACAAATACATTTAAATGTATTCTGGGAAAAATTTGAAAATTTCTGTGTAAATCAATGTGAACAATTTTTCACCTACACACTGCGTTCTCCAACAGTTTTTTGTATATTGTATATAAGATATAAATACTGTATATTTAAGATACTTAGATGTTAATGTTTGCACCATATATGTATTTAACCATGTTGAATTAATTGATCAGTCCAAATAAATTATTAAATCACAAATAACTGAGATTTCTCACTTTGTCTAAAAAAAAAAGTGAGGTCTCAGTTGCTCTTTGCTACTAGGGTAAACAACACAAATGCCATTACATGTGACTTTTTTTTTTACACCTTTTCTTTTTTCAAAATGTATCAAAATAATACTTGAGCACAAAAGAAGCTGGTTTCATAAATTTCATATTATGAATAATGTAATTACCAAACCTGCAAAATAACATTCATTAAGTATTGTAATCATCCTTCAGAATAAAGGCCAAAATTACACTACACACAGAATAATTCTTTGATTTAAATCAATTACATGATAATTCAGTTAAAAACATATGAAATACTAACAAATATACTGTCAAAAAACAATGGATGCTTTAATAGTCATGAGTCATAGTCATGAATCATAAGCACTTATGCTTAAAAACAAGAGATTGGAGTTTGAGTTCAAGATTCTTGGCAACAAATCATTTAGTTTGACACATTTAGTATCAAGTAAACACCACACTGTTGACACTTTGCCAAACTTTTATTGTGTTTCATGTTCTATTAGTGGTAGTGGTACCATATGTTTTTTAGATGTACCCACAAATGAACTTAGAAACAAGTAAACTGTGATTAGTCATGTTACATGTGAGTCAGATGGCTCCTTATCTATACACGAAGCATTAGAGATACAGCAGGTTGTGAGAACTGCCTCTGCGCAAGAGTTATCCCAGGTCAAGAATCGTTTTTTAAATGGATTCACATCCCTAATTTTAACATACAACTGATTTTGATGAGACTAGAACTGTGCATGTCACGAAGACTTCTGCTCACTTACCATTTCGCTTCTCTGGGTGTTTGGGTGGGTGATTGGGAGGTGGAGGTGGCGGAGTGTCAGGTGGTGCGTGAACCCCCCGGGAAGGATGCTCCTGCTGGGGTGTGGAGCTGAGACGAGTATTGGGGTGGCGTTTAGGCTTGGCTGGGGGACAACGGGAGGGATTTGACTGGTTTTGGGGGTCTGAGTCTGGATAATATCCGTTCTCCATCTCCTCTCCCTCACCGGTGCCCACAGCATGGCAGGATTGAGAGCGTGGGGCCATGGCGGCCGCACAAGAGTGAGGCGAAAGGTCCTGGGATGCTGGCATCGTCATAAATCCCATTCGGAAATGACGCCGAAATGACGCCAGATCCCGAACCTTCCCAACCGTCGCGGAAGAGGCATCTTTATAATTGGAGCTATGGGAGATGGGAAGATCAGAGTATGAGAGATGGAATCAGAAATTGAGGAAAAAGGAATTATTTCTCTGTAGAGAGATTCTTTATCAGATTAGAATAATAAATTTGTTTCTCTTTGTGCTGTAGGCCTCCCACCTTCTCCTCTTTTCTCTCTCCTCATTTCTACTGATAAAGGCTCTATTAATAGCTCACAGTCAATTTCATTTTTGTCTCTACAGCCCCCGTTGTACACTCTCCTCTGCTCATTTCCGAAGTTTAAATTCCCTCCTACCACTGCAAAGTCACACAGACCAATACCTACACACATAAAACACACACATCTCTCAGTTAGGATTGGGACTTTCTATCGACTTCTATTGCTTTCATACTGAGTTAATGATTTTCTTCTAACCCTAAACCAAACAGACATTTTCAATACAATTTGGTTATTTAATACGTTTATTAAGCTGTTTTGTTGTGGTTCCCACAATGGAGGTAATTTCAGGTTTAACTATCCTTGTGGAGACATTTGGTTCTCACAATCTAAGCAAAACCAGACCACACACACACACACACACACACACACACATACAAACAAGTTCAGGATGAATGATGAGAGAGGAAGCGGTTCATGCCAGCCTGCGAGAGACCCCACAGCCTCCTTCACCCTCCCATCCTTCTCTTCTCCTCTGTTGTTCTCAGCTCCCCTTCTTTCTTATGCTTTCATTGTTTCTTTTTCATCTTCATTTTTGTTAAAGGGGTCATATGATGCGATTTCAAGTTTTTCTTTCTCTTTAGAGTGCTGCAAGCTGTTCGTGAATAGATAAGATCCCTAAAGTTGCAAAGACTAAAGTCTCAAACCCAAAGAGATATTCTTTATAAAAGTTA